AAAAACAAAAAAAACCCAGTTAATTCTCTCCCTCTCTACTTAGCATAAAATATCTGCAGAAGAGCAGAAAAGGCATGTGAGTAAATACAGCATGTCTTTGTTATATCTATACAGCTGTAAAACATTTAATAGTCTCCAAGAAAATCAGATTTTGACATTTTTTTGTCCCCATTTATCAGAATGAACAACTGCGGAGATGTGAGTGTGCTCAAAGATGTTTTATTCTATAGGATGTCTAGTGTGAGCAGTTGTTAATAATTCACAAAGCAAGAGAAAAAAGGCTACATCAGCGTACGAATACTTTCATTAGTATTTATATAGGTCAAGGAGTATTATATGTCAAGAGAGAGGAAAACTAGTAGAAAAGTAGAGAATCTATACTTTGCCAGAAGTCAAAAATCCAACTAATCTTGAAATAGTTGTGAAGCAGTAGTGAAGGTCCGGTGTGCACGTGTGTGTGGGCACGTGCGTGTGAAGGTCCAGCAAACATAACCACACTTGAGGAGCAAGCCCTCCTACTGCTCTATACTTCACCTGTTGGGTGGAGCATAAGACAGTGGAAAAGAGGCAGGAAGGGTTAGGGAAGATCCTTCTTAAATAATTTAATATCCATTTATTGTTATCAGGATGACTAACAATAATCTTAGGAATCTAGTTACCAGGCAAGTTTATAGGGTTCAACTACGTTCTACACCAGGAAAAATATAAACTGCAATAAAAAAACAGCTATAAACAAAACAAGGGGAAAAGTTCCTAACACTGGCTGCCTTTTTGTCTCCTTAGTGCAAATGCCACTAAGTATTCTTTTAGTGTGTGTGTGTGTGTGTGTGTGTGTGTGTGTTTTTGAGGAGGATTAGCCCTGAGCTAACTGCTGCCAATCCTCCTCTTTTTGCTGAGGGAGACCGGCCCTGAGCTAACATCCATGCCCATCTTCCTCTACTTTATATGTGGGACACCTACCACAGCATGGCGTGCCAAGAGGTGCCATGTCCGCACCCGGGAACCGAACCAACGAACCCCAAGCCGCTACAGCAGAATGTGCGAACTTAACCGCTATGCCACCGGCCGGCCCCACCACTAAGTATTCTTGAAGAGAAAAGTAAAATGTTTATTGTGTATTTAATAAAAAGTAATATTATCTTTGGGAAAACTATGATAATATCTGAATGTCCATCCATCAGAATAATTCTTTCCTTGTTCTAATCACGGAAACTTTAAAGTAGAATGATTAGGCCCAAGGAAATTGTCTGAAATCAATCTTTTCAAAATCATGTCTGGTAGTTTTTAGGAATAAATGAAAGTATACTGAATCTGCACTTCTGACTTCTACTCTCTATCCTCACTTTCTGAAAACAGGCAATATTTTGTGTGTGTTTTAAATAAAGTACAAGGATGGATTATGTGGAATTATAAAATTATATGGCAATTAAGTTTTTAAAAACCTGTTTTAAATATTAACTGAATAAATATAAGAATAAATAGAAAAGGATTTTATTTAGACAATTTCTGTCCTTGATACCAGATTCTTCAGCCATACAATATCCTGAAAAACTGGCTCGCTCTCTTTCACACAGCATACTGGGCCCCTACTATCAAGTCCTACATACTTGAGGTAATCGAACCACACCTAAAGAACCTGCACCACCGTGTTACCCAGGAGAGCTCAGGCTTGTCTACCTGCCAGGAGCCATATAAAACACATTAGGTCGTGTTCTGGTTAATCCAAAGAACCACTATTACAGCCTCCTCGTTTCCCCCAAGTATTCCAAGGGGCCCAGTACTAGCATTACAAAACAGAGAACCTAGTTAGTGTAAAACAAAAAGTATGAGTCTGTTCACCTAATCTCTGTTCCTGGTCCTGCTACTATGAGTTAACTCTTCAAATTTCAGTTTCTCCACTTTTATAATGGCTATTCCAGGTTATCAGTTTTCCAAGGGTGGTCAACAATTAAAGAAAATATCCACAAAATTATTTAGCTCCTTGAAAAACAATGAGGGATATATAATATACATGAAAATATACATACACTTATTAAGCACATAACAAAAGTCTAACACATCTCACTGGAGAGGAAGTGAGTTTTTCTCAAGTAACATCCAGAATGCAGAGCTGTGCAAATTAACTGGTATTCAATAAATGTTTGCTTTAATGAACAGACCTTACATATCTTACATTAGGTAAAGAGAATTTGCTGTGCTATTCTTCCCTATTTAAAATAGTTTGTTTCAGACAAATTTACAGCTTTGTGAAAATTCAATGTCAAAGTTGAGTATGCCATAAAAATGAAATTAAAAAAAAAACACAGTCATCATATAAACCACATTTATATATTACTTTATTAAAATAAGATTTCATTTGGCTTTTATTATTTCAAGACACCAAATGTTTCAATTAATTAACACCAAATAGGCCACTTCACCTGATGAAATGAAGTGGCTTTCAGTACATTTAGAAGCCAAGTCAAGTTACTAAAGGAAAGGCAGTACATATTATTAGCCTATTAATGGTTTACCACAGTTAGGAAAAATTTTAAGGTTCCTATTTAATTCATTTCTATTTGTTTATATATATTTTGATACAGTAGGAAAGAGGGAGAATGAAATCCTCTTGGAATTAAGTTCTATATTGTCAAGGATGGCTGAGAGGCAAACAGACTTCAAATGTAAACTCTCTTGCAACTACCGGATTAAGACTAAAGTAAAAAAATTTCAATACGCCAAAGGAAAAATTTGAGCTAGAACAGAACCATGACAATATAAACTCAGTTTTACTTCATTTTTAAAGGAAATTAATATATATCTAATTTGTTTCATTTTGAACTAACTTATTTTGGCATATAATTCATCAGTTGTAGGACTCAAACTAAACAGCTATCACAGCCCATTCTGATGTCTACTTTAAAAACTAAAGTATAGGGGCCAGCACATGGCGTAGCAGTTAAGTTCCCATGCTCCACTTGGGTAGCCTGGGGTTCACAGGTTCAGATCCGGGTGCAGATCTATGCACCGCTTATCAAGCCATGCTGTGGCAGGCGTGCCACATACAAAGTAGAAGATGGGCACAGATGTTAGCTCAGGGCTAATCTTCCTCAAAAAAAATAAATAAATAAATAAAATAAAAATTAAAGTATAAATAAAGCAAAAAACTGAATAGAAACACTATCAGTAGAAAGAGTGAAATGTGAGGTACATAGATCACTGAAAATATTAAAAAAATATTTTAAGAGGATTTAAATATAATAGATATATGAATATGTGATATTAAAAGATAAATCACCAGCACTAAACCGAAGTTACCCTCACATAGAACTGATTTCCATTTAAATCTAAGAGCATAAGGTCTTTTTTTTAAGTAGGTTTTCCTTGATCTCTCTTCTTATCCTACCTCCCAAATCCCATCAGTCAGTGTTAACTAAAATTTCCTTGTATTTTCTAGCATTTTCTTCCTAAATGCAACAATTAATCTTCCTTTAAAAATATTCCCTCTTAGTCTAAAACATCTTTTGACCCAGATTAGAAAACTCCAGAGAACCCTATTGTAATAGGAGACTGCAATAAAACAGTCTTCTCGAGGAAGCACCCTTCTTCATCTTCCCCATGAGATCCTTGGATATTCCTAACAGGTAGTAAATAATGAAGCAGTTAACAAAAAACTTCCTTCCACAAACAGGTCATATTCTTTTAAATGCGTCTCCTTCCTTGAACTCTTAACCTCCACTCTATCCTCTCACTTCAAAACCATCAATACCTGTCTCTTTCCTTATATCCTACTTCTCACTCCTAGGCAGCCAAAAGGAAATGGGTTTTAACAAAACTGAAATCCTAGAATAGTTTCTGCAGTTAGTGGTGGAGAGAACCACTACAAATGAACTGCAGATTTTGGGGGTTTTTATTTTTACTAATGGGCAATGCAAATGAGCACCTAATTGACGTGTGGCAGAAAGTGTTCTTTGGTACTTAGAGGGAAAAGATCTCAGCATACTGGAGTTAGGGATGAAAGGAGGAATTTTCAAAATGTTGTAAGACTCCTTCTAACCTCACTTACCATCTTTCATAAAAAAATTTTCATTAGCAATTAGCATAGGTTTGGAATGACCCGTTTTAATCTTTTGAGTCTCAGTTTGTTCACCTGTAAAATGCTGACACTAACAGTACCTTCACCTCACAGAGTAACTGCGGATTAAACAGACAACACATGCAAAGCTAAGAGCATAGGGCCTGGTACACAGAAAGACTAAAAAACGGTAGTTTAAAAGAAATCCGAAGGACGCAGTATCCTTGCTTTCATTCAGAAACCGAAATCGTTAAGTTTTATTGTAAAATGATGTATATAAGTTTATCCTAGTCATTCATTTAACATTTCAATTTAGAAACAGAGACTACCTTGGAACACTGATTTAGATGAAATCAAATCCACCAGGCGCAAAAGTTTTATGCTAAAATAGAACTTTACTGAAAAATACTTAGAAGTCATTATATTGATAAAATGAGTATCATGAAACTTCAAAAAAATGCCAATTCAGCTGTAATCATATGCAGCTGTTCCTTTCAAAATTAAGTCACCATTTGTTCCTTTCTAACACTACAGTACTCTGCTTTCATTAAAAGCCTATTTAACAAGGCACAGCTTCTTCGATACCAAAACCTTTTGGAAACCTGGCTCAGAAGAAGCCACACACTATCTACAGAGCTAGAAAGGACCCGTGTGGTCACTCTAGGACAACTGTCACTGTCACCAGCACGTCTGGGTGTCTCACAGGAACCTGGGTCATGCAGAAGTGTAGGGGGAGGCTGGTATCTGAAACAAAGTCGACAGCTAGGGTGCTCTAAAAGGTTTGAGCTGACAATCGTGGAGGATGAGGGTCTAACTGCAGCGTAGCTCATTTCCGGGGCTGCAGCGCCCGCTCCTGCAGGACAAGGAGGCAGGTGTTTGCCCTCCTTCGGCGAACCCCCTGCTTTCTCCCCGGCGCCGGCGCCCCCTCCCCCAGATCCCCAGTTACCTTTCTCGTCTTCATCGATGCGCAGGGCAATGGAGATGTACTCGAAGGCCTGTTTGTGGAAGGCTCGGACGCGCTCGGCCTCCCCGCCCGGCACTGGCGCCGGGGGAGAAGCCGAGGCCGGCGCTGGCGTGGCCCGGGAGCTCCTCTTGGCGGCCATGAGGGCGCGGGAGAAGCGCTGGCAGAGCCACACGAAGAGGAGCCCCAGGTGGAAGGCGACCAAACGCAGCAGCGCGAAGCCTACGAACAGCGGGTAGGAGAAGTAGTACAGGTTCCGCTTATGCGGCGACTCGGGCGCAGGGGCCGGCCTGGGGGCGGGACGGGCGGCGGCCAGGCAAGGGGGCGGAGGCCTGGGAGGCACCGGGCTGCTGGCGCCGCCGGAGCCTTTCTTCTTCCCTCGTCCTCCCGGAGAATTCATTCACAGCTCCCACTGCCGCCGCCGCCATAACCCGCCTCCCCGCAGACCGACGGCGACCAAGCGACGGCGGCGGCCACTGGGACGGCGAGGGCCACAGACCCCCGCGCGCCCGCCGGTCCCAGGAGCTCGGCACCTCCACGCGCTGCTTGCCGGCCCCGCCTCTTTCTCCTCGCTCGGCCAGGAGCACAACCCCTTCTCCTCCTCCTGCGGTCGGTGGCGCTTGCCCCTCCCTCTCTCTGTCCTCTCAGTCGCCTGGTAGCTCAGAGCTGCGGCCACGCGCACGCCCTCCCGTGTCTTTCTCCGGCGTACGCGCGCACGACGCCGTCTTTGTTGACCTGAGCTCCTATTGCGCGTGTGCGGCTCCAGCCACTAGGTCCCGTCCCCGCAGAACTACAATTCCCAATGTGCAGTTCGGTCTACGACGTCTTCAGGGACCTGTCGCTCTGGCAACTAAGCTGCCCCTGAGAGCTCCTTTGCAGGGAGCCTTGGTCATGAACTCACGGAAGGGACAACTGCGGGTTGGGGTCGTTCGGCATGTTCTCAGGGGTCCTATCTTGCAGTGTCATCGTTTTCTTATATTTATTTCAGCATTTTCTGTCAGTCTTCCGCAAAGGATGATTGATCTGAGTTCCATCTCGGAAGTAATGGGTACGGATCTGGGAATTATTATCTGAAAGGGAGGCAACCGTAGAGAGGTACAAGCTTAAGATCACGCAAAATGAAAATCTTAGCTCAATGGAATGAAGTCAAGATTCCAGAGGTTTAATTAAATTTGTACATGTTTAGACGTCTAATCTGAAGAATTAATTCGTTTGAATAAGGGTATCCTTAGGTTTTGCACAGAGGTGATCTCATAGCTTACTAGGAATCCAGACTGGGCCTTTTTTTTTTTAATCTACTCGACGTCCTTTTCTTTGGGGAATTACCTACTTACCCCTGCTGCCTGTGTTCCAAAGAGCTGCGAGCACCGATCCTCGCCTGCCGGATCACAGAGGTGGAGATACTAGGTTAATCATACTCTCCTAGGAACTGGAATCTTGGATAGAGATAAACTGGGATAGAAGGTAGTAGGAACTGAGTGCTCGTAAGAGCTGCTCTATCAGTTCATCTCGTTTGAGATCCCTGGAGCTGCCAGGTTCCTCGACTGGTCACTTGATAATGTAACCTACCCTATGAACTAGTCGGTGTATTTTTCTATTTCTCCCTCTGCTTTTCTCCTTCCCTTCTTCTCTCTTTCTCTCTCACTGTCTCTCTCTGTATCTGCTTTTTTCCCTCTCTTCTCTTTCTCTTTTTATTCGGGTTAGCCATAATGGTCTCTTGTTGCCTAAAACTAAGGAATCCTAACTGATATAAAGTCCCCATTGTTTACAGTGTGAGGTTTACAAATGCTTCATGCCAGCTTCCAAGAATCTCCACATTCTGGCCACAAATTTATTTTTTCCCCAACACTACTCTGCTACGAATTCAGGCTACGGCAAAAATGACCTGCTCCCTGTTTTTGTCTTACTGCTCCCCACCTCGTTTCCTGCCTAGTGTTTCTGCCAGTTCCTCATTCTGAAATGCCCTCTCTCTTTCACATCTGATTCATTTCAGTTCCTGACTTCTCTTTTTTAAACCCCATGGTACTCTTTGTTGTTGTGTGAAATGTATTATATTTATACATATATCATTTAAACAAGATGTATATAACATATGCATAATTTAAAGAAAAATAAAACATCTAGTTTAAGAAAAACTTCTGTAACTAAATTTCCTGAAGCACTCCATGAGCCCCTCCCTAATCTCAATCTCTTTTCTCCTTCTCTAGAGGAAACACTACCATGAATTTTATACTCATCATTCCTTTGCCTTTGTTTCTTTCTTTCATTTTTTTTTTTTTTTGAGGAAGACTGGCCCTGAGCTAACATGCGTGCCCATCTTCCTCTACTTTCTATGTGGGACGCCTACCACAGCATGGCCTTTTGCCAAGCGGTGCCATGTCCACAACCCGGGATCCGAACCGGTGAACCCAGGCCGCCAAGAAGCGGAAGGTGCTAACTTAACTGCTGTGCCACCAGGCGGCCCCCTCCTTTGCCTTTCATTTTAGTTTTGTAATGTATGCATGTATTGCTAAACAATATATTATATGGTTTTGACCTTATACGATTGTAATCATACTGCATGTGTTGGTTTTGGAAGCATTTAAATTGTTTTTTTTCTTTTCGTTATGTTAAGAGATGCATCACCAACCACCTTGAACCAGAACAAGTCCCACCACCAGAGCAAGGCCTATGACCTTTGCCTCATTTTTAATGCTAAAATCTCCTCTCTGGGAGGAGCTTAGGCCTTATTACCATAACTTGCAGTGAATGTGGAAGTATATTTTCCAACTGAGCCTCCACAAGCAAATATCCACTTCTCCCTTTTGAATATTAACTCCCCATCGGAAATAAGAGGTTCCTGCTGCCCCATGCTCAGGGAGAGCCAAGACTGGAAATGATTCCTCATAGCCTCTTAGTTGCTACAAATATATTTTACTTTGTGTGACAACCACTTCTGGTGGAGAGTCTGATTTTAACTCACTGGGAAGTGAACTCACTTTGGTTTGGTAACACATGTATTCTTCTTAATTAGCTTTTTCTGCTCAATATTTAAGTATTTGAGATTCTCCCCTGTTGATTCATGTAGTATATTTATTTTCACTGTTATATAGTATTCCATTATATGAATTTACCACAATTTATTATATCATTCAACTGTTGATAGTAGTGGTTCTGGAATCAGAGTGGTTGTATTCAAATTCCTGCTCCACCATTTTCTGTGATCTTGGATTCGTGACTCAGCTTCCACATCTGTGGTTCAGTTTTCACATCCGTTACATAATAACAGAGTGGTAGGCTGTGCCTGGAATGAAGTGGCTGCTTGATATTTGTTGAATGATGAGTTGTTCTCCCACATCTTCACATATCCCATAATCCAACTAAAATGAACTTCTGGCAAGTTTCTGAGCATTCTTTGCTCTTTCCCAGGACCACAATTATCTCAGGTCATTTGTCTTTCCCTTAGAATTGCTTCTCTTCCTACTTCCACTGTCAAAATCCTCCGAGGCTTAACTCTAATGTTATGTTCTTGATAAATCTTTCTCTTATCACCTCAAGCAACAATGATCCTATTTGCAGGCTGGCCCAGTGGTGTAGTGGTTAAGTTCATGTGCTCTGCTTTGGCAGCCCAGGGTTTGGAGGTTCGGATCCCAGGTATGGACCTATACACTGTTCATCAAGCTGTGCTGTGGCAGTGTTCCACATGCAAAGTGGAGGAAGATTGACACAGAGGTTAGCTCAGGGCAAACCTTCCTCACCGAAACAAAAAAAAAAAAGAAATAATCCTATTTTTAAATTCTTATGACAATATGGTTGTGTTACTCTATGGCTCTTATGATATATTGCCTTTTGTGATAGTTATATAAATACTTTATCACCTCCTGATATAGATTATAAACTTATATCAAGGCAGTGGCCAATCTTTACACATTTCAGCTCACTTTCTGCACATAACCTGATGCCTTGCTTATGGTACTCATTTAATAAATACTAATAATTTGAAAAACAATTCAAACATAGTGTTTGTTGTAGATCTCTGTTGCTGTTTAATAAACTACTCCAAAACTTACTGGCTTAAGATAACAGTCATTTGTTTACTCATAATTCTATGAGTCAGCAGTTTGGGCTGGGTTCAGCTGAGAGGTTCTTCTGCTGGTCTTGCCTAGAGTCATTCCTGTGGATGCAGTCATCTGATGGTTTTACTGGGCCAGAGTGGCCTAGCTATCCTCATTCACATGTCCCGATGCTGGTGTGGCTATTGACTGGGGCACGTGTCTCCAGCAAGATATTCCAGAGTTCCTTACACAGACAGCAATCCGGCTTCCAAGAGAATGAGTGTCAGCTGCAAGGCCCCTTGAAGTCTAAACTGCAAACTTGGACAATGTCATTTCTGCAGCATTCTGTTGTCAGAGCAAGTCACAAGGCCAACTCAAATGTAACAGTTGGGAAAATAAATTCTACATCTTTTTCTCTCTTTTTTTTTTTTGAGGAAGATTAGCCCTGAGCTAACATCTGCTGCCAATCCTCCTCTTTTTTTTGCTGAAGAAGACTGGCCCTGAGCTAACATCCATACCCATCTTCCTCCACTTTATATGTGGGACGCCTATCACAGCATGGCTTGCCAAGCGGTGCCATGTCCGCACCCGGGATCCTAACTGGCGAACCCCGGGCCACCGAAGTGGAACATGGGAATTTAACTGCTGCGCCACCAGGCTGGCCTCTAAATTCTACATCTTGATGCAGAAGTGGCAAAGTCACATTGCAAAGGGGTGTGTATATATAGGGATAGAAGGATTTGTTGTAGCCATTGTCGTCACAAATAACCAATAACCATTCTGTAAATAAGAGAAGTAACGTGAGTTTTACTCAAGCCAGAGTGAGGATTATAACCAGGGAAGACCTTAGAAAGTGTTCCAGAGAAGCATGATTTTCAGTACAATCTTATTTCTTTTTAGAACAAAGAACATAGATTAAACACACCCAGGATACATTTTCATCAAGTTTCAAAGAGATATTTAGTTGCAAATTAGCAGGTCACATGACCCTGAAGTTCAGAAAGGGACTAATCCCAGCCTTACCAATAGGGTTACCAATAGGGTGTTACCAAAAGGGCTAGGAGGGCAAGTATGCATTCTTATCTTAAGAGAGTACTTTACTTTAATGGTTAAAGCAGATGTACAATGTATGTTTTCATAGGCCATAAGTCAGACTTCTTTAGTTCAAGCTGAATCAGTTTTGAACACGAATAGTCACCCCATATACCTCAATATGTGAAAATCTCTTGTCACTACTTCAGGGTCTTAAAGTAAAAATCTAAGCTTCCAAAGAAAATCATTTTTACACAGTCTGTTTGTATTTTATTAATTATGAAATAAATATATCTCTAGTCCCTGGGGCAGAAGTGATCTTTCATTCCTTGGCATCCAGGTGTTGAGTTTCTGGCCTCTGTCCTCCACTTGCTAAGTCTCTGCTCACCAGTTGTGCTTAATATTACTGTGCTTTTCTGTAACTTTGCCACTTTTTTTTGTATAGTAAAAATATGGGATTAAGAGTCAGAAAGACTGCGGTTGGTATTCTGGTTCTGCCACTTATTAGTTGCATGATGTGGAACAAGTTCTTTAATTGTTAGCTCTTCTGTAAA